GCTGTAGTATATCAGCATTTCATTTAGCTGTCTTTAAACTTGTTTTCTAGAAATGGGAAATAATAAAACAGAGTAAGTCATGAGTATCATATTTCTTGGTTAGAAGGAGACATATGGGAGTAGGAAGAAAACAAGGAGAGAAAAACATGGTAGAAGAAAAACCACACAATGTGCAAGAGTTCAAACTAGCAGAAAAAGGTCAAGACAGTTAAACAGGAAGTAGTCTCCATTAAGATTTATATTTTCTGACATACATTTTCAGGTTCTCTCTCCACCACCACCACCCCTCTTATTGCTTTTCGATTTGAATAAGGAGGAAAAGGAAAGGAAAGGGGAGTTGTAGGAGAACAAGGATAGGAGATGGAGGGACAGAGGAGCTCCTGCCTATGGCTGGACCAATGAAGCTGGGGCTCCAGGCAGAGAGGAATTATCAGAAGCAGAATCTAAGTCACCTGCAGGCACACACAGTTCACTGTAAGCAAAAATGTTGCTGCTGTTACTAATGTGCTGCTACAGAGCCTTGAAAAGGGGACAGTTAGTATGTGTTAATGAAAATAATAATAATTTAAAAGCAAAAAGGAAAAAAAAAAACAGGGAGTTCAGGAGTGACGTAATAGTCTGAAATTGTGCTTCAAGAGGCTAAGCAATATGTGGGCCCAAAGAATTTGAATTTGGCAAATCTCCATTATTTCTAGAGAAGATCGATTTGACTAAATCATAAGCATGAGACTAAAGATTATGTTGCTTTCACAACTCCTCCTCTTTCACACAAGGTTTTAGTGTTTTCTCTTACTCTTATCAGTGGGCTGTTTACACTACATCTGACTTCCTGTTTTTACCTTTTTGTTAAAATAGCATATCTGTGGCTCTTTCTTAGCTGTGGTAGAAACTGTGTTGAGCAAGTTCCCTCGATGGCCAAGATAATCTGTGTTCCCAGTCAACAGAGAGTAGCAAGAGAAGGCAATCCCAAGGCATTTAAAACTCTCAGCCCTGCATCAGCAGATGGCATTTAGGGACACTAGAGTTTCCCTAACTCCTATCCCATATCAGGTTTGGCTGCAGGCTGCCGTGGCACAGGTGTTTTTAGTCTGCCACTTGTAAAAGCCTTCCCACCCTTTAGACCACATCTTGTCACAGGCTCTGATTCTTGGGGCAGGGTTTCTCTTGAACAGGGAGAATGCTGCTTTGATGAGAAAGTAGCATTCTTACCTGTTTTTTTGGACTTACTTTCTCTCCAATGTCCTGGGGACTTTCTAGACTTCCTTCAGCAGTCTGAAAATCAGGAGAAAAAAAAAACAATAGGCAATTTTTTTCTCAGTAGTTAGATTATATGAAACTGAAAGCACTGAGAGCAAGGCTTGGACTGAAAAAAAAAGAAACATTGTTTTGTGGAGTGAATATGCCTGATCTCTCAATTAGAGCTTCCTAGTTTGAACTTTGGAAGAGAACTTAGAGAATGAAGACCAGCCACATCATTTGAAATATACATTTATTTCACAACTGAAGGCCAGTTGGAGAAGCCTAGAAGGTGGAAGTAATATATTATTTGGGATTTTAATTTTCTAAAATAATGTGCACACTCACAATTGACCTATTCAGTCTTTTAAAGAGGCAGCAAGTGAGGGAAGGGGGTGTCTTGTGCACTTGTGGATCCTCAGCACCTGACCCAGTCAGTACCTGGCATTTAAGTACACAAGACACTGTCTGGAGGGACTCTGTTTCAGGCCCAAGGCAGACAGCTTTACATGAATTAATATACAACACACATATCCTCATGTTTTTATAGAAACTGAGGCACAAAAAGCCTAATAACTCTCAAGTATCATAGCATCAATTTCATTTAAACACAAGCATCTTTGATCCCAAAACTTTTTCTTAAAGTCCCTCGCTATACTGCCTCTATTTGCTGAATGAATAATTGTAAAATTAACAGCTTTTTTCTTATAGAATATTTACTCACAGCTTCCATATGTTAGATGTTAATGCAGCCTTGTCTGCAACCAAGCAAAACATGTGGTATTGTCTCCATCTTACAGTGAAAACATGAAGGCTGGGAAGGTCCTTACTAAGGCTGCCCATGTTTCCTAAGCAAGTCACAGAAGTGGGAGGTGAATTTTCAACTCTAAAATGCTATTTCTCCTTCTCCTCATTGCTTCTGTAAGAAAAGAGAGAAGGGAGGAGGAAGGGACAATCTTACAAGGTTCTCTGCTGATCCTACTGTATTTTGTTTTTTCTCCACACCCAGAAGCTAGTGGCTGAAATTTGATTGGAAAAAAGTGATTGGAAAAAAGAGAGATGTTCTCTATTCTTTTCCATTTTTTCCATGATATTTCTAAAAGACTCTAAGTATAACTTTTATGTGCTTTGGGAGTTATAATGTATTTTTTTTCTCAAAACTGTGTCCTTGTCATTGTATTGGCATTAGGGGCAAGGACTGCTTTTCCAGTAACATGTTCACAGATGAAGCCTCAGCATCTAGAACAGAACTTGGCTCAGGAAGGATGCTCACTGCATGTGACCACATATAAAATAAGTCTGAATAAAAGGCTAATCCAACTTTTTTTTCACCAATTGGAACATACACACTTTTGAAAATGTAGATGCAATACAATGTCTATGTAATGCATTTAATTTAGTTATTATACTGTCCTAAAAAAAAAATCGTGTATGTAATGCTGATATATTGCTTTTCTTGCATTTTATAAAGTATTTTATTCAAATACTTTGTATCTTTTTTAAATATTTTCATTAGTATTAAATATATTCATTCCTTTAAAGCAAATTAAAAAAATTTAGCTTTTTTTGAGAATACATCTGGCAATTGGTTAATATCCAACAGATATTGAATCTGTGTGGGATATTTACTAGTCCCTTTTTTTGATTCCCTTAATTATATAGCATGAATATAATTCTCTTTAAAAATATTTCTAAAAGTATAAGCTAGTATAAAGCCTTTTTAAAACACCTTCAAAGGCCCTGTTAAGAAGTTTTAACAAAAAATCCATTATTGATGGGGCAAAGTTGGTCAATGGGTATTAAATCATAGTTTGATAAGAGAGATAAGTTCTGGAATTTTATTCCACAGGGTTATAGTTTGGATATGAGGTTTCCCCCCAAAGCTCCTGTGTTAATGCTGGATATTCTGAGGTAAAGTGAGTGGATTGAGAGATCTGTAACCTAATCGGTTCATGCTAGTTTAAATGTACTGGGTGGTAATTGTGGGCATTTGAGGCATAGCTGGAGAAAGAGGGTCACTGAGGGCATGCCCTAGAAGGGTGTATCTCACTCCCCCACCCCACATTCTGGCTGCCATGAGCTGAGATGGTTTCCTCCATCATGCTTTGCCCCCATGATGTTCTCTCTCATCTTGGGCCCAAAGCAATGGAGTCAGCCGACTCTAGACTGAAACCTCTGACACCATGAGCCAAAATAAATTTTCCCCCTCTAATTTGTTTTTGTCAGGCATTTTGGTCATGATTTTTATGAATAGCAAGATTCCAGTTTTGCAAATATGTCACCACTTAGTTAGAGGCTGATTAAATTGTGAAGCTAATGAAACTTAAGTTTCAGAATTTCTGTCTCCCTGGAAGAGACCCTACACATGTGTTTCACCTGTTTTTCATAACATTTGCAAAAATAAGTTAGGTTGATTCATTTTCCAGTGTGGCAGTATAAAGAGTGCTGTAGAACCTCTTCCCAGAAAAAATTACTTGTCCATGTACTGTGCATGAACCAAACTGGCATGGAAGCCTTTGGGAGGAAAAATCTGGTATCTGGGAACTCCCAGCAGCACTCCTGCTGGTGAAACTGCCCAAATACAGAGTTACCTAGCTCTTCCAGGTTCTACACAGCAGTGGAGATGGGGTGACTTGCTGGAGCCACATAGCAACACAGCCTCTCAGAGATGGGTGTGGCTTACCAAGATGCCAATCAACCTGCTCAAGACACCATGAAGCAAGACTCCATCTGCTGAAACTTTATCCCTGCCTTTGATATACTCCCTTAAATAAATAATCAGAGCCATTTTGTAACTGTTCTGCTCCAGCTCCTGTATGCACTGGAAGAAACAATCAGGCACCCCATCACTTTCAAAACTATTTCCTGGCTCTGACTCTTTATTCTTCACTAACTACTTTATATTTTAATTTTCTCCATTGGCTTATCCCCTCTGAGCAGAAAATAGTTACCTGAGTATGGTGATGGCCACCCTGCAATAATTACTGCAATTATCAAAAATTATTTTTAAAAATTAAAAATTCTAGCACTTGTTTCAAAAGCGTACTTCAAACAATGAAATATTTTTTCAAAGGAGATCACCAGAATCTTACTAAGAAAAGCAAGAGCCTATGGTACAGAGATATGATCTGTTCCTTCCCCACCCAGTTCCATTTGACAAAGCTTACCTTGTGGGGTGTGGCCAAAAATCAGGGCCCCCCCTTTCTCTTCAGCAGGTTATTCACTGAAAGGGTCAGGTCATCTACATTCCTCAGCCCCTCTGTGATGTGCTAAATTTTGTCCCCTTCCCCAATAATTCAGATATTGAAGTCCTGACACCAGATCCTTAAAATGTAACCACATTTGGACATAAGGTCTTTAAAGAGGAATTAAGTTAAAAGGAGATCTGTAGGGTGGATTTTAATCCAATATATCTGGTTTCTTTAAATGAAGATGGAGGAATAACAATTTGAAGGCAGACATGTGAAAACAAAGAAGAGTGGTCTCAGAAGAAATGAAAGTATGATACCTTATCTCATGCTTTCTGGTGCCAGAATTGCAAGAAAATAAATCTGTTATTTTAATCCACCCAGCCTGTTATATTTTGTTACAGCAACCCTAGCAAACTAATGCTACCCATCACCAAGGGACAGACTTATTTCTAATGAGTGTGACCAGAAATCAGAGGCTTCCTACCTGCCATCCAGTCACTTCTCATAAATTAAAGGTTCTAGCTCAGGCATGGCAATAAAACAGCTTAAAATTCTAATCACACTTACCCTGATATATTTGTAAGCTGGAAGCTCTATGCTGGGAGAGGCAGAAGAAACCAGACCTGCCACTCATGTCCAGTGTTGAAGAAGTACTTCAGAGATTATGTTCAGGAAGAGAGACATTCCATAAAAACAGAGAGTTTTAAAGCTGTTCCCAATGGAATGGATTTCATTCTAAATGGAATATGGAGAAATTCAATGCTAAGGGAAATTTCAAAAATAATGGAGATTTTGGTGATAGATAAATAGAAGGAAGCTGATAACCCATGATTGCAACAAGTTAAACAATAGTTCAACTAGTTTTCCAATGAGAACCAGAGAAGGAGACCGCCTATAAGAGCTCTCGTAGAGTCAGAACAGGCTCAAAGACTGGCCTCAAAACTAATCTTGAGCAAATTTAACTAGATTAGATTTACAACAATTTATAAAAATTTGTAAAAAATTAGAGTTATAAGCCTGCAATTAATGGATCCTACTAGCTGAGTTTGATACCTATGCACAAAGACAGTTTATTAGAGAGGCAATACATGAACTAAGATCACCCTCCTAAAACCAGCCATCCTTTGGTGATTCTTTACATGCCTAAGGAGCACACTGAGGGGCACCTTGAGACTCTCATGAGCAAAACTTTAGTCAAGATCTTCTGACTGCCTTTTCAATTAGAAACTATACCTGGGCATGTCTTCCCAGTAGGCTCTAAGATTAACATTCTGTCAGGTCAGTGTAGCCAGAATCCCTCAGTCTTAGGATCTGACTACCCTAGACACAAAGCCTTCTATATCCTTTTATCTAAAGGGATAATCTCCTTCTGTATCTTAGTACCAGTTTTCTCTCTTCTCACTGAGGATCGGCTTCCAAGTTCCCTTTTCCTATTCTCTGAATTGTCTACTCACAAATTTAAACTCATGAAAACTTTTTAGCAATAAGAAGTGATTCAACTTGTTTTAAATTACCACCATTTTGAGCTGTGAAACAAGGGATACCTATATAATATAAAGATTTTAAAGGGTATAAAACTCCTAAGGAAAATAAACAATAAACAGAAACCCTAACTAAAAATCTTATTGATATTATTGAAAATGTTTTCCATTGATACATTAAATAACAGCATATTTTACCCTAAAGTGAGATAAATGATTTGTCAACTAATACATCATTTTAAATTTCACCCTAAAAGTTAACACATTAATGAACTGTACATCAAAGAGAACAAACTTTACTCTATGCAAACTTAAAAATAAGTTTTAAATAATTAAGCCAGTTAAAAACAAATCTTTATTACAAAACAATGCTCCTTTAAATAAAAGGCAGGTGTATTATTTCACTAAGGAATGTGTTACCAGTGCAATACTTAATATATTTAGGATATTTTCCATAACAAATTACCTTTAACACAATTTTTTAATGTTTACTTTTTAGTTGTAGTGGGAAACAATACCTTTATTTTCTTTCTTTCTTTCTTTTTATGTGGTGCTGAGGGCCTCGCACATGCTAGGCGAGCACTTTACCACCGAACCACAACCCCAGCCCCACATTTTCCACAATTTAATCATCCATTTATACTTCAAAATCAACCTACTGAAATTAACAGGGTTGTGAGCAAATTCTTTCTAATAATATTTACATACACTGGAGCCAAGTGCAGTGGCATGCCTGTAATCCCCAAGGAGCTCAGGCAAGAGGATCTTCAGTTCAAAGTCAGCCTTAGCAACTGAGTGAGGCCTTAAGCAACTTAATGAGATTCTATCTCAAAATAAATAATAAAAGAAAAAAGTGGGGTTGAGGGGGTTGGGAATGTGGCTCAGTGGTTAAATGATCCTGGATTCAATCTCTGGTACACCCCCCACCAGAAAACTGTATATTTTATATATCTGTGTATGTGTTATATAAATTATAAAATATATATATATATATATATACGTAGTCTCAAATGAATGAAATAAGATTGTTGCTTTAATAAAAGTTCAAACAGTAAAATTTTGAGGCTCTGGGACTGGAGAGGTTGTTCAGTGGTAGAGAACTTGCCTTGCATGCATGAAGCCCTGGGTTCAAGCCTCAATGCCAGAGGGGGAAAAAATCATTTTTTTTTTCCTTTTTGGAGTCTTCAATTCTGGATCAGTTATTTCAGGAATTTCAACTTGAACATTATAATTAGGTTAGAAATAGATTCTTGAATTTAGTATAAGCATGATATGTGGTTTTAGATTCTGATTTTCAAAATGCATATCAGAAAATGACCATTTAATATATTAGGACCTATATGCATATAAACAAACAAACAAATAAATAAATAAAAACATATAGATGCATAGACCATTTCCTGGCAAGAGAAGCAGTTTATTGCCTGTCTCCTTGAATTTGCACAAAACATGTATCTAGTTTTGACCAAGAGAATGCAGCAGAAACTATATATATATATATATATATATATAAAGATTTTTGAAATCTCACAAATTTGTATGAAGGCCCAAGAAGGGTCTTATTGTATAAATACAACAAAGGTGAAGTGTAATCTTTATTTTCTATAACATAACACTATGAACATGAAAATGAACTGCTACTTATTACAAAAGAACAGGAGCTGTCTCTTAACTATTAATTATCACTGATATCAAATTTGGATATTAAGGAAACACTAAAAATTAAAAGACTTAGGTACTAAGATGCAGTCAGGGACATATAATTCTTTACTTCAGGATAATCAAATCCCATTATCTATTTCTGATTAGACAAATTCTGTGATTATCCCTTAATTTGAGAAGAGGTTACAAATCAGCAAAACAGAATTAAGTTTGAATATTAGGGAAGAAAATTCATTTAAATACAGTCATTTTAAATTTGACAATGATATGGAAAGCTGTATTAAGGTCCAAGCATCAACAATCTACATTTTAAATATCAGTTTGCTTATTAAAGACCAAACAATGTGCTGTATTGTCTTTAACAAGAAAGTTTAAATTTCAATGGTCTTAAATTATCCTGGACCAAACTGATAGGAACCAAAGACTTTTTTTTTTTCAGTACTCTTGTTTCTCAGTTCTTACCAAAATTTTTCTTATGTGCTGCACTGTTATTTACTTTTTGATTTTTCTCTTGCTCTTATTCACTTTCCCCATTATTCTTATTGATGCATTACAGTTGTACATAATGGTGGGATTCGCTGTTACATATTCAAACATGCACACAATATACCAATACAGTTTGGCCAATATCATTCCCCAACTGCACAATTCTTTGACTATGACATAGTTTACATTGTAATCATCAAACATTTAGGGAGGAAATTAGTCATAAAATAACTAAAGCAGAATAATACCCTGTTTCTACCACTGTGTACACACTCATCTGTAGGGAGGGTAGCATTTAAAATTTTACAACCTATCCAGTAAAAATGGGAAAAGAAAATAGTGGACAAACCTGAAAGTATAGCTTCTTTGAAATACCGCAGCACACGGGTGAACTTGCTGATATCATTCACCACCTCCTTGATGTGGTCCTGATCAAAGTGGAGCTGGAACTTACGGACTGGAGCCCCACTTCAGAAGTCGTTACTTGAGTAGAGAGTTGGCCTGATGTCCAAACATGTTTTTCTTAGCCTTTTTCTTTTTGTGAGCAATCATACCCTCACTTGATAATCAGAAAAACTGAAATCCTTAAGGGGGCAAGAAATAAACACAAAAAAGAGAAACACAAATACTACATCAGCCAGGGAAACATATTAGGTCTTCACAAATTGCCCACAGTCCACCTTAGTATTCTATTTTTAATTTGTAAAAACGAATGAATAAAACACTGTTCTATGGAAAATACCTTCCATTTACTAAGTGTCTGTAATCCTGACAATGCCCAATATGCAAACTATCATTCTTTTCATTTCACAAGTGAGGAACCTGAGGTTTAAAGGTTAAAAAATATATCTATGCTCTCAACTGCTAAATGATGAAATTCGAGTTAAATCTAGATCTGTCCTAACTTCCTCTTAATTCCTAAGGTATAGAATATTTTTTAATTGTAAAAGTTGTTCAGAAACATCACTTAGTAGGCCGCATCTTCCCTCTATTACATCACCTTCAAAAATAAAGATGAAATATGGACTCTGAGAAAAGAAATGTGTTTTTAAAATCCTCCTCCATTATTTACTATATGACCTAAGAAGCTGTTAATCATCTCTTTAGTTTGGTATGCTCATTTATAAAATCAGAAGAACATCTTGACAACACCTACCTCGGGGGCTTATTTTACAGAATTAAACGAGCTGATAACATGTAAGTATCCATTAAGCACATTAATGTAGTTCAATTACAGTTATTTTCTCTAGTGATGTATATACATGTACACATACACACTGACATTCTGGGTTATTGTTTCATGAAGAACACTTGACAAACTCTAGATAGGGCAGAAAGGTGGGAAGGGAAGAGAGGGGGTAGGGGGTTAGCAAGGATGGTGGAATGTGGGGGACATCATTATCCAAAGTACATGTATGAAGACACAAATTGGTGTGAACATACTTTATATACAACCAGAGATATAAAAAAATGTGCTGTATATGTGTAATAAGAAAAATAAGAATCATGTGATCATCTCAATAGATGCAGAAAAATCATTTGACAAAATACAGCACTCCTTTATGTTCAAAACACTAGAAATAGATAGGAATAACAGGAACATATCTCAACATCATAAAGGCTATCTATGCTAAACCCCAAGCCAACATCATTCTAAATGGAGAAAAATTGAAGACATTCCCTCTAAAAACTGGAACAAGACAGGAATGCTCTCTTTTACCACTTCTGTTTAACATAGTTCTTGAAACACTGGCCAGAGCAATGAGACAAAAGAAATTAAAGGGATACACATAGGAAAAGAAGAACTCAAATTGGCACTATTTGCTGATGATATGATTCTATACCTGAAAGACCCTAAAAGTTCCACCAGAAAACTTCTAGAACTAGTAAATGAAATCAGCAAAGTAGCAGGATATAAAATCAACACCCATAAATCAAAGGCATTTCTGTACATCAGTACTTCATTTTTTAATACTAAACTTTTACCTCAAAGTAAATGATAGTGAAAAAATCTCTGATGCCTTCTACTTATTTTCATCTAATTGACATTGGCTTTATCCCTCTATGTGTATGTGCGTGTGAGAGAGAGAGAGAGATACAATGTTATATGTATTTTAATCCTCATCCATGGAAGTAAATTGCAGAGAACTGCATCCTCCTCAGTCAAGTAGTACAGGCTCTTTCTGAATTCTTAAAATTCCAGACATTCTCCTGGAACCCCACCACTCTGTATGTGTTTATTTGTCTGAGAATGGATCTCACTATGTTCCCCATCCTGGTCTCAGGGGCTGAAGTGTGTTCAAGCCTGTCCGTTCAAGCCTCATTCCCAGGGCTTCCAGCCCCCATTCCCATCACTCCTCTATTCCTGGAAATAAAAGTGCATGTAGGTCAGACTGGTGCATTCAGGAGCATGTTTTGGTAGATGATGGTCATTCAAAAGCTATTGCAAGTTCTTGATCAAAGAACTGATACAATAATCAATGTGTTCAATGTCTTTGAGGAGGATTTGCTGCCCGATGGTTGCTGTACCATCGCACAAAGAAATCGATTTTCATTTTATCCAGAATATTATTTCATCTTCTTTTCCTCCTCTTCTTTCTCCTCTTCTCCTCCTCCTCCTCCCTCCTCTTCATCCTACACCTTCTCCTCTTCCTCCTCCTTCTTTTTCTTCTTCCTCTTCCTTTTTCTGGTGGTAAATGGTACATGACAAAATTTATTGTATTAATTCTTCAGAGTACAGTCTGGGGACATGAGTGTTTCACACTGTTGTGTGACCACTCCTATTAAACATCTCCAGCACTTTTTCAACAATCCAGACCTAAACTCTCTGCCTTTTAAATAGTGATTCCTAATTCCCATTTTGAATTTGCAGTACTTTTAAACTTCAGTAAGGTTGGATACATAGCTTATCTTATTATGTAATAATGCTGACAGGATTTCCTTATTTTTATGGTTATATAGTTTCCTAGTTTGTATACTTACCACATTTTCTTTGTCCTTTCTTCCATCAATGAACACTGAGACTGATTCCATGCCTTGGCTGCTGTGAATGGTAGAGATGTCCCTTAGGTATACTTACTTCATTTCCTTTAGGACATACACACAGTAGTGGGATTGCTGGATCCAATTTCATGTCTTATATGTAAGTCACAAATCTGTTAGATGATTTTATCACTCTTCTGCCTGTGGATATCCAGTCTTTCCCACATCATTTATTGAAGAGACTAGTTTTTTTTCCCTCGTTTTGTGTTCTAAGTATTGTCCAAGATCAGTAGACTGTTAATGCATGGGTTTATATCTGGGCTCTCTTTTCTGTTCCAAGGGCCTATGTATCAGTTCTGACATTATTGTCTGTATTACTGCTTGGATCATTGTAGCTTTGCAACTTATCTCAAATAGAAAGCATGATGCTTCCAGCTTTGTTCTTCTTGCTCAAGTCAGCCTTCAGTGTCTTTGATGATTTTGTGTGAAGATTAGAATTTTTATTTCTTAAGGAATATCATTGGCATATTTTAGGCATTTAAAAACTATTCTCAGACAATGGTATGTACTTATCTAAATGGTATGTACTTATAGTTTGTTACAAAGACCACTTCTAGGAAGCATGATAGCTGGTTTTTTGTTTTTTGGTTTTTTTTTTTTTTAATTTAGGGCCTGAGAAAAGGGAAATGGTTAATCTCCCCCACTTAAGATTCTTCTGGACATAAGTCACAGTTATTACATTTGCTCAAGAAACCAGCTTTATACACCTTTTATAGAAGTAATTTCTAGATTAAATTTAGACAAATGCTGTAATTTACAGAAATGAATCAGCCTGAGCTTAGGTGCCCTTCCTCACCTGGTGTCAACACTCACTTGCCAGCCTTCTTTCCTGCTCCCTGCTCCTCAGTCAAAGCAAATAACTCTATTTTCATTGCAAAGACTCCTGAAACCTACAATCTCTAGTTTTGTTTCCATGGGTCTTTCTACCTGCAGGATATTTATTTCCTCTGCCATCATTCTACCAACTCTTTAACAGTCAACTCATGACTTCCAGGAAGCCTTCACATGTGTTTTTCTCCAACTTTCATAGCTCTGTTCTTTCTTGGTAGACTTGTAATTCCTAATTTTTGTAATTTCAAAATCATTGTAATTTTTAATTTTGCTTCTTGGTTCCACAGGCAGGCTATGTCTTCTAAAGGCTCCTTCAGTCACAGACAGCAACAGAGAAATCCATCCTGCAGACAAAATAAAGCCATCACTGATGGGAAGAAAGCCATTGCAGGTACAGGGGCATGACTCCACTCCCAGGCAGTGGTTGGATTCCTGTAATACCCTCTGACAGGTCTGACAGGAAGAACTTCCCAAAACTGTGAGCTTCCCCTTCTGTGGAATGCATGCTCTGTTGAATGTGGGAAGAACAAGGGGGAGTGGAGGTCCAACCTCAGCCTGATGGGCAGGACCTTTACCATTAGTTTCTAAAACATGCCCTTGATGGTGTGGACCTGTGTGAATTCTGTGATTTCCTGCCCTGCCCTGCCTTTCAGATTTGGCTTGGTCTCTGAGCTCAGGAAATCATAGTATAGTTGCTGTTTCTTTCTTCCTTCTCTAAAACTTTCCTGTGACAGAGGAGTGGGCCAAGAAGGAGCAATCTGAGAGGGAACAGGAGCTCTCAAGTCAGAAACTACAGGAAGAGCAGCAACAGGTAGAGGCTCAAGAGACGTGTCTCAAGAAAAACCTGGAGCAACTGAAAAAGAAGCTGGAGGAGAGAGAGGAGCTCCTGAAAAACCAGGACGTCATGTTGGAGCACCAGCTGAAGGTGGGTGTTGCCCTGCTCAGTACTGCCTGATGGTTCCAGGGCCCCAGAATGAATAGGGAAGATAACACTCAGCTCACAGAAGGAAAACCATGAGCATTTGTTGCTTGTGATTCATTAGAAGCCCTGAATAATCACCCCCTACCCCAAACCCACATCATATTTTTTTCTTAATATTCCTTTGAATTTTTTCTCCATATTTCGACTCTGGAGACCGAGGTCATATGACTCCTATAAATCCTTGGAGAATACAAATAGGATTTAAGCTGCTTTTTGAGAGATTTAAAATGGTCTCACAAGTATGTGGGTAAACAGATTTCCCATCAAGCTAAGGTCAATCTGAGCAGCAATGGGTTTGCATTCCCAAGTCCCATGTTATCAAGATACCTATTCTTTATCCAAAACCGTAGGTAGATTCACACCAACTTAAAACTCTTAGAAATTTCTGTAGTTAAAAATCACAAGGAAGTGACAGCTTTTAAACTTGCTGCAATCTGCTCCAGGTTTACATAGCTGCCTGAGCATGCATATTGCATGGAAGGAAATCTCTCAGATTTCACCTAGACATTATATGAGGACAGATTTCTAGATTAACTGATGACTTCTCATCATTGCTATGGTATGGAGACTATGCCACCCCACTGGGACTGAATATCTGTTTGGTCAGACTAGTTGGCTTTTCTTTGGGGAAGAATGTGAAATTGCTGTTTTTAACACTTTGGTTAGCTCAGCGGCAAAACTGTAAACATGGGCGAATATTAGTAAAATTGGAAACTTCTTCCTTACAGT